AACCGACTTAATTACACTGTGAGCTGTACGTTTTTTCATTCCTTGACAATGAACTCGCGAGAGAGTTCGAAACGTCGGACAAATACACTTCTGGTGCCAGAGAACGTCTTAACTTCTTTTACAATAGATGATTGTATGGATGGCACACAGAGAGCGCTGTGGCTGGGGACTCCCTTTACGGTTGTACGGTTACACCCGATCTGTCTATGCGTTTCGATAAACGTTGCAAAAAGCTCACAATGATGAGAATACCCTGTCACCTATATAGGGTATAGGTATGAAATGACGACCTAAATTTTAAATTGTGATTTAAATTCGATAAATACTTAATTGGGGGCTGTAATACTTGTTAGGGGCCATCCTAACCGACGCGCGCCCACGCAGCCCTGGCGAGTCGCTCTCACGCCATACCACCGGCCTGCCCACACTTAGTGCACGTGATGACGCGCACTGATGCGTCCAGGCCTAGGACTCTAACAAGCCAGCTGGATGAGTCACAAAGCCAATCGATTCGCTACTTGCCCGGGGAAAGTACCTGAGTGGTCCGATTGGACATGCCTGTACACGCTATTGCTTGCCTTAAATATGCTGTAGTAAGTGTGCTAATAGACTTTCACTCTTGCGTCCTTCTTGTTGTGTTCTTCCTTGGGGATTCCAACGAGGGTTAATTAAACGGTGAAATCTCGGCTTTGGGGACATTACACAAATTGTCGACGCAGAACTCATCGTGTCTATTTTCGCGGAACAATTGCTGACTATCCTGCAGCAACAACAAGCTCATTTCGAGGCGGCTCACCTGAAGCTGATAGAGTCCATGACGCAGAAATAAAGTTTGCATTTACCTGATCAGAATCTTCTGGGAAACAGTTCAGGTCAACGGACGCACCTGCTGCAACTATCACCGAGTTTATTTATGACCCCAACTCTGGTGTGACTTTCGACGCTTGAAACGTTGGGAAGACATCTTGCGTGTGGTGTTTGCCAAAGCCGATGATGCTTGAAAGGTGCACCTGTCACTACGCAAACTGGGCACCAAAGAGCATGAGCGGTACACGGATAAGATTCTGCCGAAAAACCCTCGTGACATCAAATTCGATGAAACCGTAAAGCAACTATCAGAGACATTCGGGGAGGAGTCATCACTGTTTCATAAACGATAATGGTGCCTCAAGCTGGTGAAGAACGAAACAAAAGATATTCTGACGCTCGCCACTATCGTCAACCGCGAATGCGAAAAGTTCAAGCTGCGAGAGATGAAAGAAAGCCAGTTCAAGTGCCTCACCTTTGGGTGCGCTCTTCAGTGCCCTCGCGATACTGAGATCAGGACTCGGCTGCGCATCAAAATTGAACAGGACCCCGACTCAACACTGCTGACATTGACGGTCGAATGTCAGCGGCTCAAGAATCTTAAGCATGATACTGCCATCGTGGAGCAACCTAGTTTATCGTTTGCTGCCACCAGCGTTCATGCTGTCACTCGCATGGAGTGGATGTCCCAAAAGAAGCCTCATGACTCCGCACTCAAAAGATCAGCAACAACATGCTGGCAGTGAGGAGACTGGCATTTTGCTTTCTTCTGTCCACTCAAGAAGCACGCTTGTCAGAAATGCCATAAGCGAGGGCATAAGGAAGATCACTGCCCAGCAGGCCAACCACCCAAAGCAATGGCAGGTAATACGAAGAGGAGGCGTCTCAAACGCCCTTCTATTTATTTCGGCCTAAAGTCTCACTCAACTTTCAAGACTAAATTTGAGACCAAAAGGAAGTAACTTACGGTTATTATCAGCGGCAAACCTGTACATCTTCAGGTTGACACAGCCTCATCTCCAAGCGCATTTGGCAGATACTTGAACGGCCTGCGATATGCACATCGGACAAAAGGGCTATGAATGTTTTTGGAGGATTTCTCCGGCCCACGGGTGAGCTTCAATGTTACGTTTCCTTTGATGGCATTCAATTCAAGGGAAAATGTAACCCCACCAACCGTCCGAACCTTAACGTAGTTGGTCCTGACTGGATCGAAAATCTTGGTCTCCTGGAATTGCCACTTAACCGCATTTGTAATGGTGCGCAGTCAACTTGGCCGAGTCCCACGAAATCGAATCGAATCTTTCACTTGCTCCTGTGGAGTGGGTTATATTGGTCGCACGAGCGGGCGCCTATCCAAAAGAGTAAAGGAACACCTCCCGGCATGGCTGAGAAAAGGTGAAATCAGGAGCATAAATAGCTCTATTCTGGTGCACTTGGTCGATTCCGAACATCGGGTGGACCCCAACGAAGCTTTCCGAGTGATCTGCAGGGTCCCACAAAATTATCCAAAGCCCCTGGGTCAGCGCCTGCTAGCAACAGCAGAAGCGACCGCTATCAGGCTGATGAAGCCCGCGTTGTGTGCACAAAAGAACTTCCTACAGGCTCCACAGCTGGTTTGGCCCACAGCCACTTAGCAGCATGTAATCATCCACGCTCTGTTTGTCTCCCTCTCCCGTCCCCCTCCCCT